CTCTGCCATGTGCCACTCTGCCTCGGAGCCAGCCAAGTATGGACTGAAACCTCCACAAACTGTAAGCTAAATAAACCTTTCCTTCCTTCATTTTGGGTGTTGGGTATTTTGTCTCAGCAATGAGAGAAAGGTAACTAAGACACAGTGGTTTATGCATTTGTGTACATGAAAGAGCTGCAAACAGGTTATGGTCAGATGAACAAACTAATGAGCCCCTGTGAATTCCATGGGAAAATCACTGATAGAGAGAAATTCAGCGCAGAGGGACCCTGAAGGACCCAGGGTTGATGTTACTGATAAAGCTTTGGATTCACTCTGCTGTTTTACTTCTAGGTCTTTTATTTTATTCTCAATTTAGGGGGAAATAAATCTGTCCAAATCCATCTCTCTTAGATGCATGTCATGTTATAATTCTTCTTTTAATTGCGATGTATTTTTCCTTCTTCACATTTTATTTTTATTTGTTTTGTTGAGGTACCATTTACACACATAAGTTTGACCCATTTTAAGTGTATAATGATTTTTGGTAAATGGACTGCATTGTACAACCATCACAGCAACCCAGGTTTTGAATATTTTTATTAGTCCAGTGAGATCCCCTGGCTCAGCTAGTGTTCTCATCACCAACCTTGTCTTTATTGTAGAAAATAAAAGTTTAAAGCATAGTCCAAGTTCTTTAAAGAAATGAGTTCTAGACCAGATTATCCTGGTGTTCTGTCACCGGGACAGTATTAACCTTACTCTCAGATCATTTAGTATTAGGGAGTTTGTTTGTTTGTTGTTTTTTATTTCTATTAGTACATGTTTGCAGTATATAATGATTGCCTTTATCACAGGGAGCGAGTGTGTGTACATAAAACATCTTAATTTTTTCTTTGTCTGCTTCCCTCCATCTGTCCCTGCTCCCTCCAGCTCTTAGTCCCCTTCCCAGTCACAAAAGTTCTATTCCCATTTTCCTTCAATTCCCTTTTTCCATGCCCTTTTCCTCCCCGTTGTCTCTTGTTCCCTTTCCCATTTGAGAAAGATTTACTTACGTCTTATGATCTATCTTTTATTTTGCTCTTTATTTATACTCTGTGTTTCTCATATAAGAGAAACCATGTGATATTTAAACTTCTGTGTCTGATTTACGTCAGGTAACATTATGGCCTCAAATTTCGTCCATTTACCTACAAATGCCTCAAGCTTATCTTCTTTATGGCAGAGTAGTACTTCACTGTGCAAAATAACACGTTTTCTTTATCCATTCATCTGTTGATGACCATATAGGCTGCTTCCAAGATTTAGCTGTTTTAAATTGTACTGCTATTATCATAGGTATGCATATTACACTGTAATATGGTGATTTTTAACTTCCTTGAAGATACCAAGAAAGAAAATAGCTAATTTCCTTGAAAAGTATGGTTAATAATATCTACCTGTAGGGTTGTCCAAATGATTGAAGAGAACATATATGAAGGGTTTGCCACTTTAGTATTCATGGCATTATTTTATCATAGATACACAGACGTTTGCAAACTGTAGTGACTGCTTGGGTACAGAGACTGAATTTTGAACCTTTTTTTTTTTCTGGTACCAGGAATCGAACTTGCAACCCTGTGCTTGCCAGGCAGGTGCTGTGCCACTGAGCTAAATTCCCAGCCCCTTGGAGACTGAATTTTTAAGGTTGTTTTACTATTTTGTAACTCAGTGGAATGGGGTGTGAAGGAGAGAACAATATATTTATAGTGGATACTGGCTGCTTTATAAATTTTTTCTTTTCTTTTTTTTCTTTTTTGGTACTGGGAATCAAACGCATGACCTTGTGCTTGCCAGGCAGGTGCTGTGCTGCTGAGCTATATCTTTGGCCCTCTTTGCTGCTTTAAAAATCAAATGCGTTTAAAAGTTTTATTTTAAAAATTTACTTTGCATGTATTGTCCTCTTAAACTACACAGAGATTTTCTTTCTAAAGAGCTTTTCCAAGTGGCCTGATTCCCTGGAAGTCCCTTCCCCTCCCCCAACTCAGTTCTGTGCTCAACAGCTCTGTCTTGCTTTCTTCTGAGATGGATTTGAAGAAATTAAAGACCCTGGCTTCAGCTTTTTAGAGCTAGGGAGTGATGTTGTCTTCTGGCATGAAATTTAAGGCCCATAGAGTGCAGTTGCCATTTCCCGCGGATGCTCCGCTCCTGTGTCCCGATCTCATATTTAGTGCCCTATGAGTCAAGAACATAGTGAGTGGTCCCATTGCCCCACTTTGCTGGTGTAGCGCCATCCACGCGGCGGGGCAGGGTGTGTGCTGAGCTTCTGGCTGAGTTACTTGCAGGGTGCCGGGAAAACCAAATGTGGCCGCGAGAGGGCGTCTTACCCCCAGAATCGTGTCCAAGCTCCCCGTCTGGGCAGAGCAACCTGGGAGGTAACCTAGGACGCCCACCTCTTCCTGCTCCTGCTCCTCTACCTCTCCTCCTCCTCTTCCTCTCCCTCCACCCTTCCCCCTCAGGGGCCCCACAGGTAAGGAGCCCTCTGCCACTTTGAAGTTTGGGGCTTTTTCCATGGTCTGTTCTGCAGAATGGGTGTGTGTGTGTGTGTGTGTGTGTGGGTGTGTGTGTGTGTGTGTGTGTTTTCCAAATCTACTTGAAGGTACTGGCTAACGTTACAGTTTTTTCCAAATATTTTTTTTTTTTTTTCAGTGCAAGGGATTTGAACCCAAGGCCTGGTACCACTGAGCAATCTCCCAGCCTTAAGATGTAGATTCTTGAATTTCATTCTCTAGTCAGGTAAGTATGAATCTTTGACAAAGGAGACCAGAAGCCTGTGTACCCACCACATTCCACAAGGGATTGTGATGCACTCCCAAAGCCGAGATCCTGGAAACTGAGGCTGTTCTCGCAAAGCTATCATCAGTCCTTTCCTTTAACCCAAATTCAAAGCCAAGGCAGCAGTCTTCCGACCCACAGCACTACGAGTCCTGGGTTCATCTTACCTTCTGGGGAGGGAGGGGCTGGGGATTTAGCTTAGCGGCACAGCGCCTGCCTGGCAAGCACAACATCATGAGTTCGATTCCTGGTACTGGAAAAAAAACAAAAAACAAACAAACAAAAAAAAACAACAAAAAAAAACCCAAAACCTTCTGGGGAGAGGGTGGGCAATGCTTCTCTCTCTGCCAGCATTCAAGGGACCCTCAGGGACTGCTCTGAAGTTTGGAAGGAAGGGTTCAGAAAAACAATGTTGAAGAAGTCACTGGTGTTAATTAAGAGATGTAAATACAGTAGACTCATATTGGTTCTCCAGGGCTGCCGTAACAATGCTCCACAAACGGGTGGTATAAAACAGCAGAGAGCTTTAAAAAAACAAAACGACAACAGAGGGGCATTCTCTTACAGTCACGTAGCTGGAAGTCAGAAGTGAAAGTCTTGGCAGTGCCATGTTGCCTCGATGGCTCTAGGAGGGCGTTAACTTGTTTCTTTCTCTAGCTCTTGTGTTGCTGGAGATCTTGGTGTTTCTTGGTTCCCAGCTACATACATCTGTCTCTGCCTCTGTGGACATATAGCTTTCTCTTCTCTGCGTGTGTCTGTCTTCCCTTCTTCTTGGAGCACACCAGTCGTGGAGTAGGGGCCACACTGATGACCTCATCTTAAGCTAGTAACATCAGCAAAAACCTTGTTTCCAAATAAAGTTGCATGTCTTCTAGGGAACAAAATCCAACCCTTAACAGATGTACATCATTTCTTACAACTGATCTATCTTCCAGTTAAGTTTCCAACTCACTGAGTAACAAGGAAAGTCTAAACTTAGTCCAGTCCGGAACACGAAGTCCAGTCCGGAACACGAAGTCCAGTCCAGCACTTAGATCGTCAGCTCGCATCTGTAGGCATGCCTCAGTAGCACTCCTGTGTTCTACCTCCTCCCGCGTTTCTCTGTCTCTCCACAGAGTGGTGCCGTGGGCTCGGGCTGGGTTTGCAGGACCGCATGGCACGGAGGAGAGGCCGACTGGCTCTGCCACAGGGCCCTTGCTGGTCTCTGCTGTGAGAGGACAACTCCAGTCTGGCCTAGCGGTCTCTACTGCAGGAAGATGGGCGCCTTCTGACTTGCCGGGGTTCCATCCTGGCACCCTCTCCTAGAGTCCTGTGATCTTGTCCATTAGTCAGATTTCAAACTCTCTCTTATCAAAAGACTGGGTTGATGGTGTTGTCTTATTAAAAGAACCGAGAAAAATCAACAGTGAGACTCAAAGTTGTCGATGACCTTTTTGTTTTTGGTAGCAGTCAGCTTCCCTGCGTGGTGGAAATGGCCCTTCTGGTTTGGTCCCTAAGGACTAGTGAAAACCGAGTGGTGTATTAGGTAGTTTTACTGTGGACCAAACCAGCCCAAAGCTCAGGGCCTTAGAACAGGGTATGGCAAACCATGGCTCAGCGCATGTTTTTGGAGGACTCACAAGAATGGCTTTACATCTTTAAAGTGGTTAAAAATTAAAAATATGTAACAGACCTGAATGGTCCACGAAGCCTAAAATACTTTCTAGCCCTTGACTGAAAGTTTGTTGAACCTGGCTTGAGACAATAAGCGTTTATTTTCATCTACAGTCTCGTGGTTCTTTAACTTTTTTTTTTGGTACCAGGAATTGAACTCAGGACTTGCGCTTGCCAGGCAGGCGCTTATGCTGCTGAGCTGTATCCCGGGCCCTCATGGTTCTTTAGTTCCTCGACTTCCTCACGCATCTGGGGCTAGCTGTGGGACAGGTGGGCGGCTCGGCGCTCTTGGCTGGTCCTCTCCTGAGTCCAGAGGTTGGCTGCAGGCGTTGCTCTGAGGCGGGCATGTCTGGGACAGTGCACGGTCACACACAGCCTCCTGTCTTCCTGTGGGTGAGCCCTGCTTTGCTCGTGGCACGGGTAGTTCTGGTAGACATAGTCACCAGCGGGGTCTCCCGAGGCCGAGACTCGGAGCGCACGCCTTCACTCCTGCCACACTGCTGCTCTGCTTGGGCCTGAGGGCGGGGACAGACCATCTCCTGATAGGGCTGCACAGTCAGTGGTAAAGAGTGTGGACTCACGGCGTGGGAGAGCATTGGGACCATTTCTATAATCAGTCTACTGCATATACTTGTTATTTCCACAGTACTACCCCTGGAGGTGAAAAAGAGAATTTTAGTTATCTAGTAATGTTTTCCTGAATAGCCCTTGTGATCTTAAAGCAATTTCAATTTGACTTGAAGCACATTAGGAGCTGTTGTATCTTCTTAATACAACTTTTAGATTTTAAACCCTTTGGTTGAAATTTTTTTAATTAAAAAATTAAATTTGAAGAAGTGTCTTCTTTTTCCTTTCATAACAGTTTCTCCCCACTTAGTTTTATTTTGTCAGTACAATAATTAACTGTATCAACTGTATTTTCCTATCCCTTTAGTCTGTGACCTCTGAAATCTGAGTTCCCAGGTACTTTGTGAGGCTGCTGGGAAGCACCTCTTCTTTGGAGATTTGTTTGTTTAAATTTCTGAATGGGTGCCCAGAAGAACCACCTAGAATTTCATCCAGCCAACTACAAGACGAGCTTACCACTGGATTTCCCTTTATTTGGTTTTTAAACCCTATGACTCAGCTCCCCCTTTGTGGCAAGCCCCACAACTCTGTTCGATGCTTTTATGAGGGAAACACAGCAAGCCACAAAGATTGAGATGATTGGCTGTTGGAGTCAGAAGGCACAACAAACCTTTCTCTGATACACACATGGTGATAATTAAGAGGCAGCCGGGCAGCGGGTAACGGGCAACGGCAGTGTCTTCTTGGCTGTCTCTGTCTCTGGTGTGAAGGCATTCAGTACCTACCACAAGACTTTTGGCCATTCTAGGTCAGTAGAGACTCAGCATAAAAGAATCTCCAAATATGTCTTTGGTTGGCTCCAAGATGCTCTAAAGAATATCTAGATCATGGTGACCACGTAAGTTTGAAAGCATGACTTACAGGCCAGCCACCAGCTGGCAGAATAAAAAAGCGAGCAGAGCTGGGGGCCCTCTTAGGGGATGGTGGTTCCACCCTCTTGGGGCAGGGTGCACTCTTGAGTGTTCTTCCGGATTCCAGCTGAGCAAATCAAGCCTTTACCAACCGCTGAGAAAGGAGGCCTGGAACACACATTCCTCGGTGGTTTCCCTGAAGGGCTGATGGGGGTAGAGGGAAGCTGGGTGTGTGAGGACAGACACCTGTGTGTGTTTAGCTCCATTGTTGGGCAGAAGGGGAGGCCTGGCTGAGGAAGCTCTTGATGGAAGGGGCTTGGCATGTGAGGAGGTCCAGCCAGCACTGTAAGGCCTGGAGGGCCTGGGAAGTCGTTGTCTTGGTTGTCATAGATGACAGAAACTACAGATATTACCCAGTCAACCAGTAGCCCATGTGTACCTCCCTTTCCCCTCAGCAGAGCCCCCTTGTGATCAGAGAGGCTCTTCTGGGTTCCCTTGTGGCTGAGGTGGCTGTATGACATGGGATGACCTGGGCTGGGAATGTGGGGACAGCTTCTGCATTCCCCTCACAGGTTCTGTCCCCCTTTCCCTTCCCCTTCCTTCTCTGTGCCTGCTGTGCAGATGTGAGGCCAGGGGCTGCCACCTTGAAAGCTTGGGCAGAGGCCACATCCTCGACCCACCTTGCGCAGCTGCGTGGACTCAGGGACGTGAGCCTGGGCGTGGCAAGACGGAGGAATAGGCCCCTGTGAGGCCAAGCAACACTGGCCGTGTTTTCTGTTGTTCATGGTGATGTGGAAGTGGTGCTGTTCAGCATGGCCTTGTCTCTTAGCATGTCGCCTGAGAGCCGGGCATTGACCCAGAGCCTGGGGACCTCAGAGGCTGGCTGTCCCCAGAGGAGGCCCGCCAGGCTGGGGTGCTGCAGGGCCAGTGTGCTGAGGAGGAGCTGGGAAGCCAGGTGTCCTGCAGCCCTCTGCCAGCGACACTCTGGCCACTCACGTGGGAAGCAGGTGGAAGGAGCTGTGTCCATGAGCCGAGGATTCCGTCCCACAGCGTATGTAGAGTGAAGTCAGCGCAAAGCTGGGCGGAAGCTCATCATACCCCTCCTTCTGACCCCTGACACCCGCCGAGCTAGACCCACACCCAGAGCATTTTGTTACTTTCTTATTAACCTTAGTAGTTAGCAACGTCTCACTCCACACTTACAGTGACTGTTGTCTTAACTACGTATATGTGGCCTCCGTGTTGTCTGAAAATATGTATGTATGTAACTGTAATTTCAATAAATACAGCGGTGACTCAGTTCACTAACTTAATTTGTTCTATGATTTTGAGGAAGATGGCCACGTTGGTGTTCGTGTGAGGAAGATGGCCGTGGTCATGTTTGTCACTGGGTGTGGAGTTTGCGAACGGAAGCAAAATTTTGCTGAACACTGTTGGTTGAGGACAGAATTATTCGTGAAGAGAAGTGTTCATGAATTGAGGCCCACTGTCCAACTAAAAAGCTTGCTGCACCCATGGCCATTGCCTTCTGTGGACATCTAGAGCCAAACCTCCAGAAAGGGTGATGTGAGCCCAGCAGTGCAGGCCAGGAGGGGCCCCAGGGGACAAGAGAAGCATGGGCCGCAACGCTGGGCAACCTGAGATGACAGCAGGTGCTAGCGCCAGGGCTATTGCACACTTTCTGAAGCCTTGTCCACCTTATCTGTGCACTACGGGTAGCCAGACAATGTCAGGCACGGTCCTGGAATGGCTACAGTCTCCCCACCACGAGAGCGTCCCCCTTTCTTTTGAGTCTACAGTAATATCGATAATGATAATGATAACCATGGA